GAATGCCACATCATAACCGCAGCCATAGTGCTATGGTCCAGATGTCTGTGTTCCCCAAAATTCTTATGTTCAAATCCTAATCCTAACCCCTGAGTGACGGTATTAGGAGGTGAGGCCTTTGAGAGATTCCATCACCCTAATGGAATTAGTGTCCTTATGAAAGAAGCCTGAGAGAAACCCCTTGCTCCTTCTGCCACGTGAGGTTACAGTGAAAACATAGCTGCCCATGAAGCAGGAAGCAGGACCTCATCAAATGGTGATGAGACGCCAAATTTACTGGCACCTTGATCTTTGGAATTCCTTGCCTCTAGAACTATGAGAAATAAATTTTTGTTGTTTATAAGCCAACAGTTTATAGCATTTTGCTATAACATCCTATGATGTACTAAGACACACGGCCACCATTTTATAAAAGTGGGCAGTGCATTCTTGTGACAAACTGAATAGGACTCTGAAAGTCTCTTAGATGAAAGAAAAGTTAGTGCTTTAATGCTAGAGAAAGCTCCCCATTTTTAAGGTTTTCATTCTCTATAACATGGTCTCTTTGGTTCTCCCTCAAGATAACTTCCCTTAAGTACTCCTCTGGCTTGGGAAAACCACACACTAAAACACAAGAGGAAAGTCAATTTTGACTTTCCAAAACTGAAATGAAGACAAAGGACATTACCTCTTAGAAAAATATTCATTCCAGCAATCCACCTTGGCAGGGCCGCGATGGGCATTTGCGATCTTCTGACAGAGTTGCTTGTTTTCGTACTCGATTTTGTTGATTCTCTTTTGTTCACCCTGGTAAGAAACCACGCCACCACGTGACACCATCAGTACACCACCCCAACACACAATGACTTGGCTTCCCCCTCCTCTGAGATCCTGGGAAAGGGGCGCATTGAGGGCCACAGGGAAGACTGGGAGCAGAACTTAAAAGACTTGGGGGCTGGGCGCAATGGCTCACACCTGTATTCCCAGCACTTTGGGAGTTCGACGTGGGCAGATCATGAGGTCAGGAGATCAAGACCATCCTGGCTAACATGGTAAAACCCTATCTCCACTAAAAATACAAAAAATTAGCCGGGCGTGGTGGCATGCGCCTGTAGTCCCGGCTACTCAGGAGGCTGAGGCAGGAGAACGAATGGCTTGAACCCCAGAAGGCAGAGATTGCAGTGAGCTGAGATCGAGCCACTGTACTCCAGCCTGGGGGACAGTCTCAAACAGCAACAACAACAACAACAACTGGGGTTGTCGTGTTTGGGGAGGAAGAAAATTAACAAATCTTTGAGTAGATGGGTATTAGAAGGCTCTGGGAAATTGAACCTCTTTAGGACATAGACTGGAAGTCAATAAAATACATCTGCAAGCAGCAAGAACAAATACCTGTAGTTTGCTCAGTTTTAAAAGGTGATGTGTGTGCGCCACTGGAGGTTTGGTATCAACAGTAGGCTTCACTAGAGATGGGAGATGAAAGACAGCAACGTTACATCACAGGAATTCCAGTAGCAGCCTCAAAAAACCAGCACTAGACAATGTCCTTGACTAAGGAACAATTGCGAATTAGGACCTGAATGTGGCTCAGGAAGTTTTGTTTGGTTTAATTTATCAGATGGACATCTCTGAGGAGGTTTGAACAGAAACAAAAGAACAGTGAGAGCTAGGAAAAGTAAAATTTACAGAGATAAATGTCCTTTTAATCCAATGAAAGAGCCTCTCTTCCAACCCTTTTCCGCTATTACTCGCCTGTCTATTGGCTTCTGAAGGCCTATCCTCTTTCTAACTTACTTTGGCTTTAAAGAGTTTAAAGAAGTATTTCCATCCAGTGAGCTCCCTGGTGGAAGATAAATTTTGTTATTGGTGCTAATGCCCTCTTGCCCAAACTCAGCAGAGAAGGCCAGACCATCCCAGAGCTGTGACCTGGTCTGATTTACTTTCCATCTCTCTAGGGGGTACCATTCCAAAATCCCTAATAGCAGTGTCTAGCCCAGACTGCCCACATACCTATTTGTACTCTATTCTTGTGAGACAGATAGTGGCCAAAGTCCAGTTTCTTTCTGAAGGTTGTGCTTTGCCTGTGATTAGAGACGATGACAGGGTAGGCCAGATAATCCAGGGAATTGTTCATCTTCTCTTCCTAGTCTCACTTCCGAAATGAGGCATCCAGACTCCTCTGTGAGGTGCCTAGCTGTCCCCCTGACAAGTTGTCATAGTTACCCAGTTATGACATCAGGGATGGGTCTCAGGAAAGGAGTAGGAGCAGTGGGCATGGCTGGCTGCCTCTGGGCTTCTGTGTTTGATGCTAACCTAGGCTCAAGTCAAGACGAAGGTCAAGGGACTTGAAAAGTTTTCCCCTGATTAGAATGCAGATACTGCCAGACAACATCAGAAGGGAAGGAGTGGTGCGCGGGGAGGGGCGGGCAGGCACGGGGTGGAGTGAGGGATACAGAAACTCCAGCCTTGGTTACACATCTTGGGCTATCAGCTAAGTGGTCTCCACTGCAATAGCTCCCCTGAAGGTGCAAGACCACAGGTTTTTGAGGGAGAAGAAAGTTGACCCTAATGATAATCTGATGCAATTTCTTTTGCAGACGAGGAAACTGAAGACCACAGTGCAACTCAAGAACCACGTTGGTGGCAGGGCTGGGATCAGGATGTGGGTTTCCTGAATTCAAGGCCAAATTTGCTCTTTTGCAAGAAGGAAACTGCCAGTTTTTCATGGCAGTGGGGGAGGGTAGCTTTCCTGCAGGACAGAGACTGTCTTTTGTACTTAGTGGGAGTTCAGGAAATGCTGAGTGGCTTGTGGTGGGCTGGCATCTGCTCTAGGAAGGACTGCAGGAGTCTGATTTATCTCCACGCCAGCACAGGGTGTGGCACCCACTGGGTGCTCAGCGCATTTGCTGATGAAGGACCAACACTTATTGAGCGCTCGCGATGTGCAGTGCTGGGTGCCTTCCTTGCATGTCACATTTAACCCTCCCAGCAACCCTAAGAATTAGGTACTATTACTGCCCCCTCCTTTTTTTTTTTTTAAGCAAATAGGCTCAGGTTAGGTAATTCCTCGGAATTCCCAGGCTGATTGCTTTTAAGCACCACGCTTTCAATGAATGTTGACAGCAGACGCGCCCCAGAGTAGAGCTTCTCAGACTTTGATCTTCCTAGGGACCTCCTGGGGTCCGTGAAATGTCCACTCTGATCCAGCAGGGCTGGGCTGCGGGGGTTCTGGCGAGGGCCCGGGAGAGGCCTCCGCAGCCGCTCGCGAGCCGAGCCCGGCAGTCCCTGTAATCCAGAAAGACTGAAGCGACCCCTAGGTGTACCCTGCAGTTTGGAAACGTTTATTGGGCCCTGCATTTTGTTCAGGGAAGGAAGTGATCGCGCTTCCCAGTTTACAAAGATACACCAACGGCCTGGACCAGGGTGGGGCGAGGACCCCCGAGTCTCGAAGGCGGTGGCGTCTCCCCCCGGGGACGCGCCCAGGAGTGGCGCGCGGGGCCCCCGCGTCACAGCGCCGGCGCTCCGCACTCCCCGAGGCCAGCGGGCCCGCCCCCGGGGCGGAACGGGGCGGCTCCCGGCGCGAGCCCCCGCCCAGCTGACCCGCCGCTCTCCCCCTCGCTCGCTCCGCCGGGCGTGCAAGGCCCCGCCGCCGCCATGTCGGGCTCGTTCGAGCTCTCGGTGCAGGATCTCAACGACCTGCTCTCAGATGGCAGCGGCTGCTACAGCCTCCCGAGCCAGCCCTGCAACGAGGTCACCCCGCGGGTCTACGTGGGCAACGCGTGAGTCCCCCTCGCGGTCCGGGCCCCGCCGCCCCCCCCGGGACGCCCCGCCCACTCGAGGCTGGGGTGGGGGCGTCGCGAGGCGTGGGTCAGGGGAGCAGGGGCGCTATTGCCCCTCCGGGAGCCAAAGGGGGGCTTGGGAGGGAGCTGGAGTCGACGTCCACCCCCGCGCGTGGGGCCGAGGGACCGGAAACCTGCCCAGCCGGCCGAGCGCGGCCCTTCCCAGTAGCTGGTGCACGGAGCCCGGGGGGCGCGCTGTTGGGGCTTGGCCTTGGGCGGGGTCGGGGCTACCAAGTTCACTTAACAGGTGGCCCTCGGTCGCCCGGCCGGTCTCCTGCCCGCGCGTCATGTGACAGCTGCCTGGTTCTGCAGTGAGGTCACCGCGGAATGTCTGCCTTCGCCGCCATGGCAACGGGCCGACGTCACAGTTCGGGCGTGGAATTTTCCCGGCCGGGCAGTCCCGGATCGGGGAACCTAAACACCCCAAACGAGGGAGTCCGGGTTGCTGGGCCGGGATTTCCAGGCCTCTTCTCCCACCTTCCAGATGTGGTTTGATTTACATGAGATTCTAGAACGGTCCAGTGATAAGCCTCCTAAGGACCTGAGCCACCACCTAGAAAAGGCTCTTGACGTTTCATCCCCAGGAAATGCATTTATTCTTGATCATTTATGGGTTCTTCCTACCAGATTGATTACCCCATTTTCTATTATTCAAACTACTAGTAAGATTTTTTTTATTTAAAGTTAAATTTTTTTTCTAATGAGAATGTCTGATCAGCAGGAGGGAACCGGTGTTAACATTCTGAGATGTGAAATAGGACCTGCGAGAAAGAACAGATCAGCATGCCAGGACAGCCTCGGAAGGGCTCAGGCAGGATTTTCATGAGACTCTGAGGACCCAGTTACCAACATCCTAAGCTCCATGCCTCAGCCCAAGGATGGCATGCTGAAAACTCAAAACCCACCCTCCTCTCATTTCAGAGGAAGAAATGGTGGTTCAGAGTGTCTGAGGGAGTACGAGGACAGGGTCAATGTCTTGTTCGTGTCTGCATTCCCTGACCTCCGTTAGGACCTGCTGCTTAGCCTGCCAAGGACTGCCACGGAAATGGGGGTCACTGGGGAACTAGAGTTCCCATCCGTTCCATCATTCCTTCGCTAGTCTGAGCACCTACTGTGTGACAGGCACTGTGCAGTGTTCATTCATAGTAGAGATAGTAATAATGATAATGGTAAATTGGTTGAATGTTGAATTATTAATAGTATTAGAGAAGGGAGATGAACAGGAGTGACTCTTCAAAGTGTTTTTTTTTTTTTTTTTTCTATTAGCCGCTGCTTTACAGTCTTGCGCAGTGTCCTAAGCAGAAATAGATAAAACAGAGAATTGCAAAGCTCTGGAGACACCCTTCCGCCTGCCCCAGGCAGCAGGTGGGCCTTGTTAGCCTCAGGAGTGCTGCCTGCTTGGGCAGCTGGGCCATTCAGCTGTCACCACTTCCCAAGTGGAAACCAAGGTTGTGCACACCTGGTGTAGCCCGCGTGGCAACTGCTGATGGCTATTGTAGAAAATACATCCCTTGCCCTCTAAGCACACCTGACCTTGACTTGGCCGGGGGTATGAGGGCTGCTCAGCAGGGAGGGTCAGTGGGCACCGGGCACCAAGATCCTTAGGCACCATCTCCTTAACAAAATCAGGGCTGCAGCCGTGTCTTCACAAGGCAGAGAAAGAGCCTATGTAAGCCACATTTGCCAGGCCTTGGGGGTTTTGCAGCAGATGTGGGCATGAGAGACAGAGTGAGATGGAAGATAGCGCGGGGCTGGGTGTCGGAAGAAAGGAGGTCTTCTCCCAGCCCTGCCGCCAGCAGCGCGTGGGGCACGTGCCCATCCCTCTGCCCATCCTGTTGGGTCAGAGTTCAAGCTCTGTTCAGTGGGGATACTGCCATCCTTGTTCCTCACAGGGCTGCTCATAGTGGGCAAACAAGATCACATAGGAGGTGGCATTTTATAAACTGCCGTTTGGACTGAGATGTTTTGCCAGATGAAATAAAGGGGCCTTTTCACCATTCAGATCAATTATTATTATTATTTTAAAACTTTTTTTTTTCACCTTTAGAGATGGAGTCTCGCTCTGTCACCCAGGCTGTAGTGCAATGGCACAATCTTGGCTTATTGCAACCTGTACCTCCTGGGTTCAAACGATTCTCCTGTCTCAGCCTTCCAAGTAGCTGGGATTACAGGCGTGTGCCATCATACCTGGCTAATTTTTGTAATTTTAGTAGAGATGGGGTTTCACCATGTTGGCCAGCCCTGTCTCGAACTCCCAACCTTAGGTGATCCACCCGCCTTGGCCTCCCAAAGTGCTGGGATTACAGCCACCACACCCAGCCTTAGGTAAATTATTTTGTAACTTCCCATAGTTCTCTTAGGGCCACCTGCTCTCCAAGTACTAAATCATCCAAGACAGCTTTGGAAATGTGGCCAGTGGAATGTGGCAGGTAGGATCCCTTTAGGAGGCAGGGAGGGGGCTCCCTGGCATGGGATGGATTTGTTCTTCTGCACTCATTCACCGCTTATTTATCCAGCACCTACTATGTAGCAGGTACTGTAGCAGGTGGCAGGGAAACAGACTTGAAGCAGACATGGGTCCTCTCTCAAGGAGCTCACAGCCTGGATGTGTAAACACAGAAGCACAGTCAAGCATTAGAATCATAGTGTTAACTACGGTATCAGGCTCTGTCCACGGAAAAGGCCACTTAATACTTATCACAACCTCAGGGAGAAAGCACTGTTACCCCATTTTACAGAGAGGGAAACTGAGGCACAGAAGGCTTAAGGTTGCCTGGCTAGTAACTGGGCTGGAGGCAGACCCAGTTATTCTGGTTCCAGAGTCCATTTTTAGCCAGTTAGCTATGTACACCCACGCCACAGCTTAGGGAGCATGGGGCCACATGGAATGGAGGGGAGAGAAACGCTGCGGAGGGTGTGAAAGATGAGAGGGCGCATGTCTGCAGAGAGGGCGGGAAAGAGCATTCCAGACAGAGGGGACGGTGTGGCTATGAAACCACCAGTCTATTTGGGGAAGCTGCTGGCAATTCGATATGGCCCGAGTGAGGGAAGAGGTCATAAGATGAGGCGGGAGAAGCTGTCATGGGCCAGAGCATGGAGGGGTTCCTTGCTTTGCCAAGCAGCTTAGATCTCTCTCCATATTCCTCCTGCTGGGGCTGCCATTTGGTTGGTTAGTCATCCCCCCAATTGTCTCCCATCCAGGTCTGTGGCTCAGGATATCCCAAAGCTGCAGAAACTGGGCATCACCCACGTCCTGAACGCGGCTGAGGGCAGGTCCTTCATGCACGTCAACACC